GTAGTAGTAGTAGTAGTAGTAGTAGTAGTAGTAGTAGTAGAGGAGTAGTAGTAGTAGTAGTAGTAGTAGTAGTAGTAGTAGTAGTAGTAGTAGTACTAGTAGTAGTAGTAGTAGTAATAGTAGTAGTAGTAGTAGTAGTAGTAGTAGTAGTAGTAGTAGTAGTAGTAGTAGTAGTAGTAGTAGTAGTAGTAGTAGTAGTAGTAGTAGTAGTAGTAGTAGTAGTAGTAGTAGTAGTAGTAGTAGTAGTAGTAGTAGTAGTAGTAGTAGTCGTAGTAGTAGTCGTAGTAGTAGTAGTCGTAGTAGTAGTACTGTATGCCATTTTTCCCCGATCTTCGCCCGCTGCAGCCGCTTTGGCGCAAGCGCCATCGAAGGCGTTCCGCTCCGGCCCAGCGGCACTGTAGCAGGCGCGCACCGTCGCCGCCCCGCGATGCCGCGCGCGCGCGCCCCGCGGGCGCTGGCCGTCGCCTGCCTGCTGGGCGCCTCAGCGGCGACCAGGGCGGCGACCAACGGCACCGCCACGGCGGCGGCGGACAGCGAGGCCGGGAGGGCGGTCGACGCGGCGCTGTCCGCGGTGCAGGTCGGAACGATCGAAATGGGTACGGAAAGAGTGGGCACGAATACCGAAGGCTCAGCTCCTGTCTGTTTTGATCTGGGCTCGCTGCTGGCGTCGCCGCGGGCAGTGTCCGTTTGAGGCAGAGGGCGGCTGCCCAAGACAGCGGCCGCTGTCGGTTGTGGGCATCATTTGACGTTGGGCGTCGTGCACATTTTTCCGTACGTACAGTGGAAACTCGTGCCAAGAAACGCCCTGCTCGCCTCTGGGGTGCCCTGCACCGTGACGTTCCCACACCAAAGCTCAATGAAGATCCTGGGGGTCCAGATCGGGTTTCTTGAGCAAGATTTCTTGTGGTCGAGCTCCTACAGTCAACCCGCATAGTCAGGATGGGCAAGGTACCCTTGCATCCTTACCCCTTCGGCCCATTCTTAGCGACTCTCGCTGGCCAACCTAGTTCGAAAAACACTAACGTGGTCCTCCTCCAAGGCCCTTGCATTCTTACCGCGCATCCTTATGAGACGGGTCGACTGTATTCGGCGTCACCCCAACATACTTATACTATGTGTCCGTCACTCCGAGAAATCTTATCGTATATGCGTCGTGGCGGGCGCTTTCTGGCCACACCGCTCGGGAAATGATATACTACAAGAGGGGAATACGATACGTTCGGCTCGGACGCGCGCCTCCACGGAGGACATCTAGTACTAGTACGTCTCTGTGCGCCCCGTGTGCGGAAAGCGTGACGTTCCCACACCAAAGCCCAAAGCTCAAGGAGCATCCTGCGGGTTCACGGTTGGGTTTCTTGTGCAAGGTTCCCTGTGGTCGAGCTCCCACTGTACACTCTAGGCGATGCTTAAGAATACCCAAGTTTTCGGCCAGAGTCTCGATTATTCTTCATGTTTCAATGTAAATCCCACGATTTGAATAGACATTCTGGGTTTTTATTAAAATTCTGAGACTATGAATTTCTTAACCCATGATTTCTTAAGCATTTCGCAGGGTGTACCCACCTCGGGCGTCCGGAGCAGGGGGCGCTGCTGCTGTCCGCGGCCCTGCCGCAGCACGACGGCCCCAGGCCCAGCAGGCAGACCGAGGAGCAGCGGATGGGGACAACCACCGACGTCTCTCCTGCCCACGGAGGAGGAGGAGGAGGAGGAGGAGGAGGAGGAGGAGGAGGAGGAGAGGAGGAGGAGGAGGAGGAGGAGGAGGGGGAGGGGAGGGGAGGAGGAGGAGAGGAGGAGGAAGGAGGAGGAGGAGGAGGGGGGAGGAGGAGGAGGAGGAGGAGAGAGGAGGAGGGAGGAGGAGGAGGAGGAGGAGGAGGAGGAGGAGGAGGAGGAGCAGGAGCAGAGGAGGAGGAGGAGGACGAGCACCGATGCCTCCCCACCCGCTCCCCGCCGCCACGTGGCCGGCCTCGCCCCGCGAATCCCTTGCGAGGCGAGCTCCCCCCCCCCTGGAGGGGCTGCCGAGGTGCAGCGGCGCAGCGGCGCCCTGTGGCTGTGCTAAAACGACGCGAAGTTCGGGACAGAATCGGATCGGGATAATTCGAAATCTCTGAGAATCGGCGGGTTTGGAGGATGTACTGGACGCCGCGGCCGCTCCAGAGCGTGCCGGAACGCTCTGAGAGCGCTCCGGAACGCTCTGGAGCGACTTATCCCGATCCTAGCCGTGTTTTATGTGCGCCCAAGAACCAGATGCCAACAGCACACCCAGAGATCCGACGCTCAAAGAAAATTGGAGCGGCGGGATTTCGGCAGTTTTCGGCCTTCGGGGGCCCTCGCCGGGCCTCGGGGTCGTCAGCAGAACGTCTCAGGATGAAACGCCGGCCCCGGGGAAGTGGTCTGGACCTCTGGGGCCCACGCATCGAAAAGATTGGCGCGGCCGGATGTCTGGGGAGTCCGATGTCAACAGCACGCGTACACGTGCGCGGTCAGCTTCCGCTGGCATGCGCTGTAACGCAGCAACTCGTGCACGCGGGGCCCCGGAGGGCGTGCATGGAGAGGAAGCATGTTGCCAACAAATAATTTCCAGATGTCTAGAACATGATTAGAACATGTTTTTAAACATGTAAACAACATGTTTGAAACATGTTTAGAACATGCTTTACACATTTGAAACATCCACAAAAAGAAGGAG